TAGTAAATGATGTAGCCAACAAGTTGGGAGGAACATAAGGCGTGGTAGACAAGTTTCAGCAAGGTAGTAGTTACTAAAATATCAATATGCGGTGGAATACCACTAGTCACTGGAATAATTAAAATTGAAGTAACAATATTTGCTAAATAACAGAAGCCACTTGCACAATAAAAATCGTTGTAATGAAAGTAAGAGAAACAAAAACAGAAGTCATAGAACCAATAATCCAACCTCTAAGTCAGCATATTCCAAAAATTTAGTAGTTGACTGGGTTATCTTCAATATTTTCCCCCTTGGTACCTACCTCTTAATTTAAAAATTTAATGATTTCAAAGTCATCAATAATATGATAAGTGACGGGTTCATCTAAGAAAAACATTCACAAAATAATATGAAAAACATTCACAAAAAAATACTAGTAATCAAAGTTTAAAAATTAAAAGTAACATAGTAGATATTTAGAGACTTGCTCCCAAAAGTTTTCTTCAAATTTTTTGTAAAATAAAATTTCACATTCATAATGATATCAATTTATCTTGACAAATTTTGCATATTCATGAACCTCGAGAGTCGGAATCTCATGCTTTTCCTCGGTAAAACTGACTCTGTCTTGTTTTAATAGGTCATTCTTGGATCTCCTTCACGAAAAAAAGTCGTAATAGCTTTTATAAAAAATACATGTCTAAAGATAGTTAAACTTCAAAAAACCTTTTTCTTCCCATGCAGGAAACATGAAAATCATACTTACGAACGAGTTCAATATGACTCTTTTTGTTTTTTGAGGCATATAACTCATGCAGCTATAATTCCATAGAAATTAAGAATGTTGATAATTTCTTTGCAAAAGGGAAGTCACAGGCCAAGTCTAAATCATCTCAATAAAAACACAATACATCGTCATATAGAGAATTCTCTTCTTGCCTCATAACTTTATTTTGAGAATTAATTTGTCTAATATAAGGGCTCGTTTGGTTCAGCGTAATTCCAACCTTTTCCTTTTCCAAAACGAAAAAAGTTATTTGTGATTACTACTTCAATGTAATGCTTATATAAAATTAATTTTTTCTAGAACATCATTTCTCTGCCGATTTTGGAAGTTTTTTGAAGTCTTCTTTTCGGTAGAAATTCCCTCGGCTCTAGCTTCTTCTTCGTGAGTTTGGAACTTCCCCACCTCCAACTTTTTATACGTCGCACGTCTTCCGACTACCTGCTGCATGAGTGGCCTTGTCTGTGACTGTGAATTGTTGGTGTTGTGTGGCCTTGGTGGAGTACTGAAACTGCTGCCAGTCCAACAGCTTTTTCCTTTATGTCGTCTGTTATCTCTTATTCTCAAATATTATATAAATTTCAATAGATTCAATTATATGGGCACTTCACAGCTGAATAAAAGTTATTCTTCTTCAAATTTCAGAAATAATGAGAAGCAGTTAACTTTGTAATATTCTTTGTAATATGATAGAAGAAACATTGTTTAAATTTATTTTTTTAATAAAGATTTTATGTCGTTTGTTATCTCTTATTCTCAAATATTATATAAATTTCAATAGATTCAATTATATGGGCACTTCACAGCTGAATAAAAGTTATTCTTCTTCAAATTTCAGAAATAATGAGAAGCAGTTAACTTTGTAATATTCTTTGTAATATGATAGAAGAAACATTGTTTAAATTTATTTTTTTAATAAAGATTTCTGTTTTTATCGGCGTATTAGTAAAACTGAAGTTAGAGAGGCTTTAAAGAAAATGAAGGGTGGAAAAGCTGTTGGACCTGATGATATTCCAATAGAGGTGTGGAAATGCTTAGGAGATGAAGGAATTTCATGGCTTACTAAACTTTTTAATACTATTTTGAAGGCTAAAAAGATGCCGGGTGAGTGGAGAATGAGTGTGTTAATTCCTATTTTTAAGAATAAATGTGATGCACAAGATTGTGCGAATTATAGAGGTATTAAGTTAATGTGTCATACTTTAAAACTATGGGAGCGAGTTATGGAGCATAGGTTGCGGCGTGATACTGATGTTTCTCAAAATCAATTTGGATTCATGCCGGGTAGGTCGACTATGGAAGCCATACATTTATTAAGAGGTTTGATGGAGAAATATAGAGAAAACAAGGAGGATCTACATATGATATTTATTGATTTAGAAAAAGCATATGATAAAGTTCCAAGAGAAGTGCTATGAAGAGTTCTTGAAAA